ATTGTTGCTGTTGAGCTTTAATTTCTACGCTCGACTTTTTTCTTCTCGACTTTAAATAGTCGGAATAAATTCTGATACATGGCTCCAAGATGGACCTTCAATATCATGACGTCAGAGATAAAGATTAAAATAAAAGTAAATCCCAGTAGAAACCCTCCCAGAATTCCAATGCCTTGTGATGACTTCCGGTAGTCTGGAGCACTCTCCTTTTTCCTTACACTGGACGACAAATTCCGTACTGGTACTGTCCCCTCGGTCTTGGTATTTTCCAGAACTGGTCTCATGATATTTTGAATTTCCTCATAAGTAAAGTTATTCAAGAATTCCCATTTGCTCACTTTTGGTTCTTCTTTATCTGCAAATATTTAAAATCAGCATTAAATGTATTAAAAAAAGAAAAGAATCGTTGCTTTTCTCGTGATTTATTAGTATTGCTTGTAGTATATTGTAAAACAGCAATATCAAATATTGATGTTTTAAAACTTTCAATAACAATAAAATTTCAAAAAGACAAAGAAGCTAACGTAACTCAGATTACAATCCATTATTATACATCTAATCAAAATGTCTAACTTTAAATATTCCTTGAATATAAGGATAATAATAGGATCACTAAAAGTAGCTATAGAAAACAAAAATCGAAAAATAATCATCATGCATCACATACAAAGATTGAGCTGAATCTCTGTCGGCTTGAAGAAAACTTCAATAAAGATGTTTAACCTGTATAAGTGGGATTTGAACAGAATTTCAAAGTACGTTATAAAATTACTTACGGTAATACCCCCAGAATGACCACTCGATCAGCAATCACCAAGGATTCTTCTAGAATGTCAAAAATTGTACAGTTAACAGTAATTTGCTACATAAAGCTAATCTTGAATTAACGCATTTCTACCATTTCTATAATCATACTCATATCCGTGGTTTAGTTTTATTAAATCAAATGTAATTTTTAATATTATGTTACACCTGTCTGATTATCATCTTTTTCATCATAATTTCCCCTAAAAATCAATTCAAATCGAGGAAAAACACACAAATAAGTAAATAATTATAAACAAATTAGATTTCTTAAATTTCTAACTTGGAAATATTGTACAGGAATTAGACAATTAATTACATTTTATGACTTAATATAAAGTTTTATTTTCTTTACTTGACTGTTTAGTCAGTTTGTACGACTGTTTAGTCAGTTTATACGACTCTATAGTCAGTTTGTACGAGGATTGAACCAAAACTAATATCACTAGCGATTTAATTCTTTCAAGTAGGAAGTCATCAACAAAACTACATATGTAAACATGTAATTTTCTCTATTTTGGCTGCTATCTGAAAATTTAATTCAGATATATGAAATATGATGATAACGAATTCGAAGATTATTCAAGCTCAAAAGTCAATTGAAGTAATACAAATTATGTGTAGGTTTTCCCATCCAGCTATCGATAAGACATATCATGTACTAAAAAACAGAAACAAAGGTCCATTCAGTTAAAAAGTAAGTTTTATTTGTCCATTTGTTGTTGATTTTAACACCTTTGATTGCTATGTATTTAACATTCCTATCTGCGAAAAGTCAAATACTTTACTGTTGTTGAATTGCACGTTAAGGGCGGTTTATTTATTCAAAATTTTGTGTTGGCATCTTTACTTTGAATCATATTATGAAAATGTAGTTTTGTATTTACATTTAATATGTGATCTCCACATAGTTTGAGTATTAGAAAATTCAGTTTTCTCATACTTCAGTACAGACCACATATATTTTATCATTGATGTCAAACCAAGCTTTAAAATGAAGCGATTACTCAAAAATTCATTAGAAATGACATAAAAATCTGGTGGAAACAAATCATTAAAACTAGCGATACAAAAAATAAAGACCACATTTTCTTCCAGACAAACTATTTAATTTATTGAAGGGGTGAGACCGTCCTTCCCCAATTCTTTATTCATTTTTTTTTAAATACCTAAAGCGTACGATGGCTTGTTGTTGCATAGGAATGGTGACAAGGGTTTTATATTATACAGTACGACTACAGCTCTTTTGCACGTGAAAGATCTAGCAACATACCAGAAAGGAGGATACAGGATAAATAAATCACTTTCTTAGAAATACAACTCAAACATTTAGGAATTTATGTTTATGTCATGGGCAAATGCAAACAAACAAATTTAAGATCTGTCAGCACAAAATTTCAAATAATTATAACTCAAAAGTTTAAGAATTACTTTCAACACACAGAAATCGAACCGACAACATAGTGTTTGATTATCCTACTGAATGTCGTGATATATCATTGGAAGGAGCGGTAATTTACGAAAATTATGCAGACTTTATGCAGAAACAACCATACACTTCAATTTATGTATAACTCCAAACCATTATTTTCAATGGTTTATTGGATACAGCAAACTAACTTTAGTCTCATGAAGAAACCTATTCCCTTCAATTGATAAATATGATAAAAAATAGGAGGTGGAATTAATTTCATTCCCTTTCAAAATACAAGGCAACCCAAGAAATGAAAATGGCAAGTTAGAAGCTTCTAATCTTCTTTATTCTCACAGTTCCCTTCCAAAGGATAAAATTCTTCAAAATCACGTTTCAGTTTCAAATACTTCTAATATTCCAGAGAGCGGAAGTAAAATTCCAAAATTCCAAATATACTGAACAAAGATACATTGTAGGATCCAGTAAATGTTCCAAGAATCCACTATCTTTGTTACAAAAATATTCACTGAAGGAGAAACTTCAGTTGTACTTCGCTACAAAATATTCAAAAAGTGGTCTAAATCAAATCTGAATTCTTAAAAACCTAAAAGAAATTTCAAAAAAAATTAAAATCACAAAATTTTACAAAACCATAAGCATCAAAACGTATAATGTTTCTCGCTTTATTTAACCATTCCTTACTTTCTGACATCATAGACAACTGCTTCTCCGAAAAAAAAATTCTGGATCTTTCATATGTTGTGATTTGTCATTTTGAATTTTTTATGACCCGTTCACAGATTTGTATTTAGTTGTATCAATGTCTTGATATTTCATTCTTATGATTAAGTTTTCACTTGAAAATTTCAAAGATGATGACGTAGACTTTCTTCTCTGCTTATTTTGTGCATTTCCCAAGAAAGAGACATTAATTTTCACATAAATCTAGCCTTTTTCTTGTGTAAAAGATATTTTGTCATTTGTAGTGAAATTCTATGAACTTTATTAAGTCTTGAATTCTTTATTAACTTAGGGGGAACATCCATGTTACACACAGAAAACCATTTTTCCCCTTTTAGATACTTAAGGTATTAATATGCATTAGAATATTAATCCTACTAAAAAATAATTATGAGAGAGAATTGTGCGTTTTTAATTGAATTTTCAGAAACTTTTATTCAAATTTACATATACATGTATATTAATTTTTTCCGACTAATCGATGGTAAAGTATAAAAAATGAGCAAGTAGATTAAAAACCTTTCAAAATTACATTCTCTGAACTTTTAAACCTTTTCATTGCATACAATATAATTTTCTCTAACAGTTTTCAATAAGGTGTGTCTAATACTAAACATCTTATAAAATAAAAATAAGTTATGGTCCTACATTTCAACCTGGGTATTCAAACTTTTTTATTCCTTCTTTGTCTACTTGCAATTCGTTTATTGATAATATTGTAAAATCTGTAACCCTCTTTATTGATCACATAACATAATGTTACCGTGCATATTGATTTCTCCTACCTTTACACTTAATACAGAATGTTTTCTTTTGTTTTCTTTTTCATCTTAAAGAGGTGAAATATGCTGGGCTAAAAGTTTTGTCGTTTAATGTTATTGAAATTTAACCACTTGAGAAGTTGTTCGCTCCTACACGAATATAAAACAAAATTCTTTCAATTTCTGTTATAATAATGTATTTTTACCAATGTAACATAAGATTTCAGTATGGCATTTTTTTAATTTTTAATAGAAATGAAAAGCTTTAAAGGGGAGAATACACGGAGGGCTGCACTTCTGATTCTGTGTTTTAGAGTCCATGACCAAGAGCGCCATGTCAGGTTATGATTGTATACAAAGGGTTGAAAAGGTTAAAAAAGCTGGAAATAAGAATATAATTGATGCAGAGTTTAAATCAATTAAAAACTTTTTATACAACATTATTTGATGAAGTTTTGAAAATGGACATTTTTGCATGGCATTTTTTCACCTATACCAAAGGACGGATAAAATGCTTATATTAATTTATTTTCCACTGGTCCAAGCCCATTGTTCCCCAAATGCAACCCTTGGTTCAGTCATATATATATATATATATATATATATATATATATATATATATATATATATATATATATATATATATATATATATATATATATATATATATATATTTATAAGGAATGTTTTTAAGTTTTGTGTGAGTTTTTGGTGTGTAAATCACACAGACTTGTCACGTAGGCATATTTCATGATATACTCCGTATATTAAAGTGTCATCAAAATTTAAAATTGTATCAATATCCTTCAGGGTAAAATTTTGTTTTGAAAAGTTTCATATGATTAGAAGGTAATGATTCATATGAACTGATAAAAAAAAAAATCAAAAAGCATTCAAACTATCACAATAACCTATGCAGTTGAAGAACTTTACACTGTTTGACGTTTTTTGCAGAAATGTATCTTAATATGTTAATATAAGCAGCATAATAATGTGCCTGATATAAATGTCAGCAAAATTGTGGATAAAATGCCTTCATAAAATTCCAGCTCCCTGTTCAATTGTAGATGAAATGCTAAAGTATCAATGCTTTCTCGCTTTTTTCTCTTGCAATATGCTTTAGATTATTTTTATTGAATGTTGTTCTAGTTTCCACAAGAATGTAGCATGCAATTGTGTTTACATTCTGATGTCACTGAGAAGTTTGACATGGCAGCTTCAATAATTTCTGCAAGGTATTCAAATCTGTGAATATTATCAGCTAGAGTGTTTAGAGGCCATTACTCTCTGAATGAAGTAAGTGTATTTTCCAGATCTTAGAACTTTATATTTTAGTAGGGAAGTGTAATGTTTGATTGCCATATTCTGTAAATTAATAGCATTCCTGATTTTATACGATGCTTGATAAAAGTTTTCAAGTCAAATACTTCTTGTAATGGTATTGTTAGCCCGGTTCCCTTTTTTTTTATATCAACTAATATCTGTTAATGTTTCATCTTCAATTTTCCAATTTCCTTACCTAGAGTAAAGTGTGACACACCCTCAATGCATTCCTTCTGTACATCTGCAGATTCTATTTCCTACATACCAAGTATTACCAAAACAGCCTTGAATTAACTTTTTTTATACATACTTACATACATACATACATACACACACACACCCTCACACACACACACACACACACACCCACCCACCCACCCACCCACCCACCCACACACCCACACCCACACACACACACACACCCACACACACACACACACACATATATATATATATATATATATATATATATATATATATATATATATATATATATATATATATATATATATATATATATATATATATATATATATATATATATATAATTTTCATCCTCAACAACCTCCAAACACTATACTCATTTTTTTTTTTAAAGATTATGCATAAATGCATGAATTAATGTACAATCCAAAACAATCAGAAAACGTCATTATAAGTTTAAAATGCGCATCCGATGCATCAAAATTCGTAAGATTTACTTTAAACACCTGATGTTAAATATTCATACTCTGTGCTCTATTATTCTGAAAGCACTAATTTCAATGAAACCTTTTGTGACAAGAATACAGTGATTGATGTCTTTAATTTTTTTTATGTAATTCATTACGTGTTTTAAGATGAAGTATGTCGTCCGTATTCAGGAATCTTTTTAAACAAGTCACATGAAGTTGTAATTATGATATGCACAAAAGCCACTGTACGTGATTGGGATGGAATTTTAATGAAGTTTTGACATTTGGTTTATTAATGTTTATCAATTCATCGCCTTAGCTTGTTTATAGAATCTCAAAGACCAGTCTTTAAGCAGGTATTTTGTGCATTTTGTTATTATGTGTATTTTAATTATGGCTATTTAGTCAGAAAATAAAAAAGGCTTCTAGGAATATCAAACAAAACTACAATTTGTACGTGTCTGTTGAAAAGAAAACATGTTTACAGTACCTGTTTATTTTTAAATTTCAGAATGCAGTATGAAATTTCGGTGGAAACTGTTTCTGACCACGTTAGCGATTATTTACCTGTTGGTACTATTTTCTCTCTATACACAATTTCATGGACCTCTGGCGCAGCTTGGATACGATAGGCCCAAGTACCAAACTGAACAGCTTGGATACGATAGGTCCCCGTTCCATACTCAACTAGTGCATAAAGTTTCCAAAATTGACAAAAAAGTAACTTTTCAGAAATTGTATCTACAAAATATCAATATTTCTCAGGACAGTACCTTGAAAGAATGGTCAAAAGCAGAAACTTCTTTCTGCGAAAACAGATTTAAGGGGTTTGCCCATTTATTTGCCATATTAAGCGACGTTTTCCTGGATCCTTCCTTTAGCGCTGGTCCTCCAGGTGGAGAAGAAATCAAAAATGTTATTAATCAGTCAGAGGAGAAGGAATTCTTAATACTCAAGCCCGGTTATTTTCAAATCCAGTGTAAAAATAAGAATTTCCAGTATATGTTTCCAAGAAGTGATCACCTAGCTAAATGGATTTCGGCTTTGAGACCTGCATTAACATTTACCTCACTGGAAGAAGATGTTCACAATATTACAATAGCAGTGACGCGATATGAATACACCAATATATATCACACTATGACGGACTGGTACAATGCATTTTTGATGCTTTTATTTTTTAACATGGAAAGTTTAACTGCTAACATTTTGTTTGTAGACAGTCATCCACAAGGAGGCTTAGATTCTGTCTGGACTACTTTGTTTGGAGAATTCATACGCGCTGGACAGTTAAAGAAACCTAAGCATTTTAAATCTCTGATATGCAGTATTCAGGGATACAGAAGTCCAATGTATGACCATTTTTTGCCAACTCTACCACATATTGAATCATTTAAACATTTCTTTTTGAGTAAACATAACATTCCGTTGACAAAAACACTAAATTGTGATAAATTATCCATTCTTTTTATTTGGAGGAGGGACTATGTTGCGCATCCCCGAAATCCGAAAGGACTTGTAAGTCGAAAAATAAAAAACGAGAGAGACTTACAACAGTTTTTACAAAAATTTTACCCTACTCACTCCATTGCCAGCGTACAAACTGATAAATTGTCTATGCAAGATCAGCTCTCTGCAATTGCAAACACTGATATTCTCATAGGAATGCACGGAGCAGGCCTAACATTGGCTTTGTTTCTACCAAAACATGGGGGTCTTATTGAACTTTATCCGAAATACTGGTCTTCCGATAATCACCATTTTAGGGCTATAGCTCGATGGCAAAATCTTCATTATAGACACTGGCAAAATTTGGATGGTAATAATGAATTTCCCGATCATTATACACACATACCTCCTTCTGTGATACAAACTCACGTGTCAGCAATTATAAATGATATGTGCAAATCTAAAATGAAAGTAAAATGATTAACATTTATGTATACATACATTATGAATATGAAATATTTTCAATATATGTCCAAAAAAAAACTCTATATGAGTGTATGTTTTCATTTTTTCTGTTGATATTTTGATTCCAATTTAATTTTTCAAATAAGTGTAAATTAGAAGCTTTTAAGCGCTTGCTATCAAATGTCATATGCTCCATCGTCATATACGTCGAACTCGGAAGAATTGTTTAATGAAATTTACCTCTTGTTAAATATATTTTTTCTTAAAAACGATAACAGGTTTCATATGCATGATGATTTTAAAGGGGAGAAATGAGAAAGAATCATTTTAGTTTAAATTAACATTTATAAATATTGAAACTTTTTAATTTTCAAAATTATGAAAATCCTCACTTCAATCAACAAAAAGTGCAAATAGTATGGTGTATAAAGGTACAATATTATGCAAGTTACAGGATATATGCGATAAATTTTGTGATTTAGATGAAAAAGTCATGTGATTGATATTCCAAACTATGTGATTTATTTTCGATAATTGTTATTTTTTGTCAACTTGTCATTCATTTCACAAACTTGTATTCATGATTTATGGAGATAACGAACAGTAATCAATCTCAAAAGTTGATTGAAACAATACAACTTGGGAGAAGAGCAACACGGACCTCTAAAAACAGAGATGGGATCAGGTGCCATAGAGGAGTGAGCATCTTCTGTCGACCGGTTGTATCCGCCGTGTACTCCTTTTCATGATCGGACAAACGGAAAATCTGTAGACAATCAGCTTGTCATTCAACTCATAAACTTGTTATTCATATGCAAAAATGAAATGTGAATCAATTTCTGAAATATGAAAACAAGATTTCGAATATGAATATAAAAACTTATCAAATATAAATCATTAGATTTTGCATATAAATCACAAGATTTCGCATATATATAACAAGTTTATCAAATATGAATAGTTTTTTTTTTTGGATTTTTTAAAATTATGAATTACTTTTTCGAATACAAACACAAGCTTTCTAATAAGAATCAAAATATTTCTAATAAAAACACAAGATCTTGAGTATAAATATCATTAACTTTTATCAACTATTATATAATAATAATGCAACATTTACACGCCAAAGTTTGAATCAAAATTTTGTATGAAGTTAGGAGACTGTAAAGAAAATTATCATTTACCCCATACAGTTCATTGTGTGTGTGATAGATCACAAATAATGGGTGTGTATAGATATTTAAACAAAACATTGCATTGTGGATTTTTTCGCTTCAATAAATTTTTTGATCTAACACCAAGGCATTAATTATTTAAATTTCATTACCAAACTGGGTATAAAATATGGAATTTTCTACGTAAAAGTATATCATTTACAATCCCATAACACCTTTAAAACTTTTAGTTATTAATGACTTCAATACTTTGGAAGTACACTGCTGAAAACAAATTGAAGCAAAAACATTTAAAACATTTCAAACTCATCCGTTCAATGTACTTTTAAAAAATGATTCTGCCTTGTCTACAGGGAAATATTAACTATTATCAAGTTTGAAACTTACTTAAAAAACTATACGCAACATAAACTGAAAAACAATACAGTCAAACCTCGTTATCTCGAACTTAATGGGACCTAGAAAATACTTCGAGATATCCAAGAATATTCAGGGTTAAATACTTAAGGAATAAGCTGTTGGGACATCAAATCAGTTCAACATATCCATATAGTATTCGAGATATCGGTGTTTGAGATATCAAAGATGAACTGTAAATATATTAATAATAATCAACAATAAAAGTCATAAGGATAATGTAATGTTTGTTGCTAGCTTTACTGAAATTTCTCTTGCGTTTAATTCACAATATATAGTCTTATTTTAATAAGTGGAAACAGCTCAGCTATTTTGAGAACATTAAAGAATTCTGATTTTTTTTTTTCCATTTATAAATAATTTTAAATGATTTTTAATAAATTTTGATAATTCTTTGAAAATTGCCATTGCTTAAACAGAAGCAGGAAAGTATTTGCTACCTTGACTAATCAGTAAGTAAGAGATTAAAAAGAGGTTAAACTGTAAACACATGAAGACTACATGCACGAGTTAAAACTGATCATTTCTACATACATTCTGTATTCTTTACAACTGTCTAGAGGAAATATGCAGCTTCCTTATCAAGTGTTGTCTTGAAAAAACAATATTACAGTCTACCTTTGCAAAATTAAATTACACATTGAAAATCACTGGATGCATTGTGAATATGTCAGACTATCACATACATGTATATACTTTCGCATTTTCATTATTTTTGCTTTAAAGAACGTGGTGTTTTATAATGCCATTATGACCCTTCACAAGACATACAAACTTCGGCTACAGCACAGTCATTTTTATGCTCTTTGCATTGTTATTTTAGTCAGGACAGATCATATTAAGAGAAGCTCATTATACACAGTGACCGTCAAGGTTCATGGAGCACATGTATTTCTAAATAGTTTACGTTCTAAAGCATCTATTGTTCCTTGTATTTGAATTCTAGATTTCTAGTTTTCTAAATGCATAATGCAGGTAATGTCAGAGGTATTTCTTATATTACAGATGTCAAATAAAATTTCTTCTGAAGGTGATTACATATAATCATCTCTCAAATAAGAGAGCACCTCAATGTTAGAGAGTATAAAAAATTGGAAAGGATGTCTTTATATTGTTTGGTGTACGTATATTGTTTTACGTGCTTTCAATCTTTCACTCATATAAAGACGTTACCATATATCGATGAAGGACTTCAAATTTATACCTTTACTCGGCACTCAGGGCCATTGAGCAGTGATGAAAGATCTTAATTATGCAAAGGTCTTCCGCTACACTGGGCGTGAATTTTTTTCCACTTCAAAGTGCCAAGCGTTCGGTGAAGAAAAGTTGCTACCTATTTTTCATCAACTTGGGTCAGTCACAGTTGAGTTTTAACCCGTGATTGTGATGACTCTATGGAACAAAAGGTCTAGACAATAATAATAATAATAATACAATCTCAGGAAATAGCACCAGAATTTAAAATCGATTCAAGGATTTTTTAGAGGAATATCCTAAGAAATCTGTTGCACTGTTAAAAATTTATTTAAATGTAATTCAATGATAAATGTAACAGAACACCGGTCTTTGTTGTATTTTGACCCATTTCCAAAGGCATTTTTGTCTGGCCTGCTTTAGAAAAAATGTTTAGTAGTTTTTGATTAGTTTTTCAATAAGAATATTCTAGAAAAGTGTTACGTAAGGGAGGTCTGTCCTAGGGGATAAAAATGGGGGAATCAAACAACATGGATAACAATTTCTGATATATTTCATTAGTTTAAGTGCCTTGTCATTGAGCTGAAAGACTAACTCATCCAGTTAAGTTGCCGCCGTCAATTCTCTCTCATATCCTGTTTCCCATTTATTTTACTATTTATCATTTTTTAGGACTTAATAATTGAATTCATTTACCAATTTTACTGGATGTGAGCTTGTATAAACTATGCCTTTGAATGAAAAAAAGCTGAATACACTACAAGGGAACTATTTGCACAACACAAATATATTACTTACGCTTAAGACTAGATAATATTTACTTTTCCTCGGTGACGACGAAAATAATTGCTTCATCAAAAACTGTTGCTGCATGGCTGTTGCTTCAATGTCAATAACTTAAAATCTTGGGTTTAAGTATAATATACATGTAACTACTGTATATACGATTTTCAAAAAATAAATAAATAAAATAAAATAAAAATAGAATATGATAAATTTAACAGTTTCGTAACAAATTGTGAAAACATCAGAGATGGGATCAGGTGCATTGGAGGAGTAAACATCCCCTGTTGACTGGGCAACCCTCCCGAGTGCTCCTGGTTATGATCGGGTAAACGGAGAAATCTGTAGACAATTCAGTTTGAAAATACACATCCCGAAAATAGTTGTTGGTAACAGATGAAATTTTTATTTGTTCTTTAAATTCAGCATTCACATCACAGATGAAAAGGGAAACTAACACAGAACAATGAAATTTGAAAGCGGGTGAAACTAAAGATGCAGATGCTAGAAATTTTCCTTCTCATTGCCTTCACCAAATGTTGGCGACATATAATAAAGTATTTTCAGTTTCTGATGAAATCTGCGAGGAGAGAATGCTTTAATTCAAGTGAGAATAATATTGTAGGCCTTTCAACTAATTTTTCAAGTTACATATATGATAAAAACATTTGATAGAAAAATTTATAGGTACTTGAAATTATCAAAATAGAACATAATCTATTCATACATTGAATTAAATCATTAAAAAATCAAATTATCTTCAATTGATATGTACGATGCTCTGTTTCAAGGAGAGGTAACTCAAACGTGAAAAACTAGTCAAAAATTGCCGATTTATGAGTTATCGTTTATAGGAATTACATGTAGGCTGCTTCAACTTGTATTGTTATGTATACAAAAGTGTTCCTTGTATTGTTGGCCAAAACAAGGAAAATATCTTCACGCTACCTTGAATAATGGGATCAAAATGAATGGGAAACGGACTATATTCAAAATTTATAACTCTCACTGACAGTTGTTATGAAGAAGAAAATATAACGACATGTTTTTGTGTGTGTGCATTGTTGTGCTTCTTCTATAAAGATATATATTTCTACAATTAAATGCAATAATTAATTATCTAATTCTTTATACTAAGCACGAAGAAGAACGACAAAGTATCAAAAGAATAATCAGGTTAGAATGCAGAAAGGGTAGATTTCACTTTATATTTAAAAAAATCACTTATAAATTATTGTACAGTGTCGGTTACTACGTGATAAATAAGTTCACCATTTGTGCTGAATTTTAAAAGTTTAAGATTCCGCTGACAGTGGAGGAGTACTCAGGAAACGTCGAAATTGACATACTTGAAAAGAATCAGCTACTTAGGACCTGCTCTACAAGTTCCGGTAATTAGTTATGGTTCTATACAACGAACCCTAGCGGCAGTTGAAAGGCTGCTGGGGCATCTAATGACTGAAGATTACACCGTAACATAAAAAGAAAGATAACTCTATCTTTATTACATAAACATCCAAGGTTGATATATGTAATTTAACACACTAAGAGTGATCTAAGTTATCTGTAATGTCAAAAAGTCATTGATTTGTAAAATCAGAGTAAGTATGGATGGTTCTTCTCTGTATGGCTTCGACGTACACGTTCTCCTCACATGAAAATTGACTCATAAAGTTCATAAGACTTGTGTAATTACCGGAACAAATGTACGTCTATAATCATTAAACTTGGTCTGAAAGATTTCTTTTTATGCCCATTTTGTGTCATTGTCATAATACATAGATGCTGTAATTAAGAATATACTGTGCTTTTAGTATGTTTTTCAAGCTATGTAATTGTATTTTTTTATATATCAAAAGAAAACCATAAACGTATTTTATGTTTCCTTATAAAATAATATCAACCATGACCATGTTCAAATAAAACAAATAACCCTACCAATAATTTTAGAATACTTTAAATTCATAGTCTTGAATATTAGTTTCTTAAATATTATTTTAGGAATGACTCTAATTCTTGGCCAAATTATTCGAGTATAACCTGGTTTGGGTCAGTTTACGCTTTATAATCAGCGAAGCGGATTATAAAACAGCGTAAACTGACCCAAACCAGGTTATACTCGAATAATATGGCCAAGAATTAGAGTCATTCCTTATAATTTAATTTTAAAATCATTAAATAATTATGGGTGTAAAATTTCGTTGCTTTTCATCAGTTCAAATTTGCCGCTCAATAATACAACCGTAGTAACGGAAGTGATGGGAAGCGAGGGGAGGTAAAAACTGATACAAAGGCCTAGCAGCCTTGTTGTTCGTTTACATGTGGTAAGATCGAATTATTGTTTGAAGTTAAGGGTACATTTATTAAATCTGGAATTTTCCATAAATCCCGAGGACTGGAAATGAAAGGATTGTATGGATACAGATGATTCAGCTGGTTGTCAGGGGGCTTGGTCCCCATACCAAACCAGGTTATACAAAAATAATTTGTGTTCCTTTTTGGATATTAACCAATCAGAGGCTAGAATACAAACAAAATTAAATTATTTTCATATATATATTGACTTCTTTTATTTTAACAGTTACACAATACACATATTCATATTCTTTTGATGAGATAAACAATTCAACATTCAGAACTTTAGAAAACAAGATGTGTTTGTGAAACACTGATGTCCCCGTATGGCAGCTCATGACGAAAGCTAAGGTCTTGACCATGGAGCACACCTGTGAAATATGAAAGCCCTAGCTCCGACAGTTAAAAAGTTGTGGCCAAAGGTTAAAGTTTTTCAAAAGTAGATTAAACTTAAACATCAAGGTCATAGGATCACAATCGTTGGTACGCAAGGGAAGGTCTTTTAACAAGGAAAACACATGTGAAATATAAAAGCCCTAGCACCAACAGTTCAAAAGTTATGGTCAAGGTTAAAGTTTTTCAAAAAGTAGATCAAAATCTAAGGTCAAGATCAAAGGACCAAAATTGCTGGTACCCAAGGGACGGTTTTTTCAAACGAAATACACATTGGGAACAAACATTTGGATGAAGTCACATAATACTGATTTGCTGCTATGACATTGATCTACCCAAATAAGACAAACATCTACTTAGTTTGTTGCCTGGGCGGCAATTGAGAGCAAATTCTTCTTGTAAATAAAACTTAAATACACAGGAAAATGTTCAGCTATCAATTATTGTTGCTGTTGAGCTTTAATTTCTACGCTCGATTTTTTTTTCTCGACTTTAAATAGTCGGAATAAATTCTGATACATGGCTCCAAGATGGACCTTCAATATCATGACGTCAGAGATAAAGATTAAAATAAAAGTAAATCCCAGTAGAAACCCTCCCAGAATTCCAATGCCTTGTGATGACTTCCGGTGGTCTGGAGCACTCTCCTTTTTCCTTACACTGGACGACAAATTCCGTACTGGTACTGTCCCCTCGGTCTTGGTATTTTCCAGAACTGGTCTCATGATATTTTGAATTTCCTCATAAGTAAAGTTATTCAAGAATTCCCATTTGCTCACTTTTGGTTCTTCTTTATCTGCAAATATTTAAAATCAGCATTAAATGTATTTTAAAAAAGAAAGAAAGAAAAGAATCGTTGCTTTTCTCGTGATTTATTAGTATTGCTTGTAGTATATTGTAAAACAGCAATATCAAATATTGATGTTTTAAAACTTTCAATAACAATAAAATTTCAAAAAGACAAAGAAGCTAACGTTACTCAGATTACAATCCATTATTATACATCTAATCAAAACGTCTAACTTTGAATTCCTTGAATATAAGGATAATAATAGGATCACTAAAAGTAGCTATAGAAAACAAAAATCAAAAAATAATCATCATACATCACATACAAAGACTGAGCTGAATCTCTGTCGGCTTGAAGAAAATTTCAATAAAGATGTTTAACCTGTATAAGTGGGATTTGAACAGAATTTTAAAGTACGTTATAAAATTACTTACGGTAATACCCCAGAATGACCACTCGATCAGCAATCACCAAGGATTTTTCTAGAATGTCAAAAATTGTACAGTTAACAGTAATTTGCTACATAAAGCTAATCTTGAATTAACGCAGTTCTACCATTTCTTTAGTCATACTCATATCCGTGGTTTAGTTTTATTAAATCAAATGTAAGTTTTAATATTTTATTACACCTGTTTGATTATCATCTTTTTCATCATAATTTCTCCTAAAAATCAATTCAAATCAAGGAAAAACACACAAATAAGTAAATAATTATGAACAAATTAGATTTCTTAAATTTCTAACTTGGAAATATTGTACAGGAATTAGACAATTGATTACAATTTATGACTTAATATCAAGTTTAATTTTCTTTACTGGACTGTTTAGTCAGTTTGTACGACTGTTTAGTCAGTTTGTACGAGGATTGAATCAAAACTAATATCACTAGCGCTTTAATTCTTTCAAGTAGGAAGTCATCAACAAAACTACATACGTAAACATGTAATTTTCTCTATTTTGGTTGCCATCTTAAAATTTAATTCAGATATATGAAATATGAAGATAACGAATTCGAAGAGTATTCAAGCTCAAAAGTCCATTGAAGTAATACAAATTATGTGTTGAACAAACACGTCAGAGATGGGATCAGGTGGCATGGGGGAGTGAGCATTCCCTGTCGACCGGTCACATCCGCCGTGTGCTCCTAGAACGTCCTCTTGTGCATCGAATCAACTGGGAGACATTAACTCCATATGCAATTGATAATAGATTGCTACATAAGTAAGGGAAGTAGACGATAGAAAAGTTCAAGCTATTAGTCATCACGTTTATCATTAAGTTTAATTTTAGTTTGCCATGATATGATGATAACAAACAGTAATCAAGCTGAAAAGTCCATTGAAACAATAAAAATTTGGAGCAGAGCAAGCATGGGCGTCTAAAATACCAGGGGTGGTATCAGATGCAATTTAGGTGTAAGCACCCGCCGTGTGCTCCTTGTCATAATCGGAAAAAAAATCCGCAGACAATTCAGTGTGAAAATTATTGCCTAAAAATTGCATGAAAAACATCATTCAATATTCGACTTAACAATACATTGTATTTACCAACTATGCCACCGTATCACCCATAGAATTTGCGAAATGCTGTCTTTAATGGACACTGTTGATATTCTTGTTACATCGATTTATTTGTCATAGCTTGCCTTGTTTTAAAGAAAGGTCTGTTCGTAGAGCATGATCTTAACTATCAAATCAACTGGAAGACATAAACTTCATATGCAGGTGATAATGGTAAATTGATACATAGGTAAGGGAAGTGGACGATATAAAAGTTAAAGTCATCACGTTTATCATAAGATTTGTTGTTTGTTAAACATTAACGTCCTTTTCTAGTTAATATCCAAATATGAAAAGATGTGTCAGACTCTGTGGAATCTTTTATTTTGAGTTCAAAGGAATGTATCGAATCAAAGGAAAATTTAATATTGTTAATTGATAAAAAGTCGTCGATATATCTAAAGATCGAATTGATAGTCACATCAAGAGACTTCTTTTCATGTGGGAGTTTCTGAATAGATTCTGCTTCATATGAAAACAAAAACAGATCTGTTGATAATTGGGCATAATATAATACCCTTTGAAATATAAAAGTAAAACATAAATAATAAACACGTTAGTTTACGTCTATTGCTCACGGCAAGAATGTCAGCGAGGTCTACATCGTTAGTTTACATCCATTCCTCACAACAATGTTAGCGACGTCTTCAGAACGTTAATTTTCTGAAAACATTTTCAGTCAATCCAAAAATCTATTTAAACTGATTATGATTTTTTACTATAATCTTAACTGCCAACTTTTGCTGTAGATTCTCGCTTTGTGTTATTAAATCTATTTGAACCTTTTTAATGTTCAGTTCTAATTCATTCCATTGCTTGTTGTTCTTCTTGTGTAGCGTCGTGTTCAACAGTAAATAACGTTAAATGTGGTCTCTTTCTTATATTGAAGAAGTTTGTCATTTGCTTTTTTTTAGGAAAAAAATTACTGAAGTCAAATAAAGGCATCTACTCAAGTATTTTATTCAATATTTCAGCAAAGACTTAGTCAATTTTGAACATTACAACAACTCTTTCATCTGATGCTACACGAGATGCAGGCAGAGATCCTGGAATTTTTACTAGGGGGTCCCCTCCAGTCAAAAAAAAAATCCTACCCAGAAATTTCTTGTCTTGCAAAAAACAAAACAAAACAATACAAAACAAACAAACAAAACAAAAATCCTTCGCTTCAGTATATACTTTTAATAACTCCGCAAATTAGAGGGGGTTCTGACCTCCCCGACCCCCTCTAGATCCGCGCATGAGATGTAAACACAGCTGAATAAATATGGGAACAGTAACTCAAAGCAAAGGATATTGCGAGAATATAAGTGTCATTCAGGAGTATTAACGAACTTGGAAATAAAAATGCACCTGAGATATTTAAGCATTTCTTATGAACTGAAAGAGTAATTGCTATCTTGCGGTGATAGATGTAATTTAACTTAGTGTTCATTTTAATATTTCAGAAGTATTATATGTAACTGAACTAAATAATTAGGCAATAGCCAAAACTGTTAAAGATATTAGTAGGAGACAATAGTCTTTAAACTTTTGTCAATTACTTACTGTTATTAAAAAGTTTATAGCACTTGTGACATAACTTCTGGATAAATCCTCGTTTTTTGCTGAAAATACTCAATTAACTCTTACCATTAATTGTCAGTAGAGAATAATATAGCGAGTAGTTTCCTTCACAATTAAATCCTACAATCTCCAGCTTTGTTTTATTAGCAAAAATACACTCATCAAAATAGAAAATATTTTGAATACCATTCCACTGAAAAGAGATGAAATAAAATAAACACCTATTAATTAAAGATCAGGGTCTATTTATACCATAGTTCAGCAAATCAAACATATTTAATAAGAATTGACATTTTTTCTTCTTATTTAGACGTTCAAAAATATTAATATTTAAGTATTAAACAAGGCCGAGTCTAATTCCAATTCGAGTGCTCAATACTTTGAGTAGCTTTTTAATTTCATAGTCATATGTGCGACATTACACTTTCCAAAATATTGTGATTTTAATACAAAATTAACACTAACTGTACCGCCTATGGGTCTGAAAATGTGCTTTTACGACAATAAAAACGCTGAAATGGCTCTAACGACGTCATTGTTTTCCGATTTTGTAAGCAATGCCTAACGCTGAAGAAAGACACGCGACTCACTTGTATATTCAAGACGTCTATGGATATTATACTAAAAACTGTTGAAATAACATCAAAGGAAACATACTAGCAATCTAAACATCTAATCTTAACATAAAAAAAGTCATCTGCACCGATATATATATATATATATATATATATATATATATATATATATATATATATATATATATATATATATATAAAATATGGAAAAAATGTCATAATTTGGCGCGCTTTTCCAACAAATTCCCATAGGGTCCAATAGTAAAATTTGACAACTTTTGAGATGGCCCAGTTAAGAAATTGGGATGTTAAACATTCGATTTCTTAATCTTAAAACAATAATAGTAAAAATTAATTTAGGAAATTTAATCAAAATATCTAGGGTAGAAATAATTAGACTCGGCCTCGTTTAATCAACACTCTTTCATCTTCTGCAATCTTTATATAATATATAACAAAGTTTAAGATTCTCTTACATAAATATTTACCACATCCACCAACTCTTTTGTTATCCATATTGTAAGCTGTAGATGTTGTGGTTCACAATCGCCAGTCCAATCAAACCACCGTATTCCACAAACATAAAAATGTGGGAAATTCTCCCAGGACTATTAGAAAAAGGAAATTTGTAAAATAATTTTTAATTTTCTTCTCGAATTACCGTGAAGGGGATGGAGAGAAAGATGGAAAGATAATTCAGCATATCACAGAAAAATATGATTTGTCCCTAAAATGATTTCTTTTTTCTAACAAACGAAATTTACTTCTTGATATCTTTTGTAAACAATTTACAGAGTTTGTGTCAAAGGAAGTCAGTCCTTCTTGATAAATCAATTAAAAATCTTATTCCTTTTTAAAAATTTAAATATTTTACATTAATTTTGTAAAGATAAATAAATAAAAAAAAGTACAATAGATTGTAGTCCAAGTATATTGAACTTGCGCTTTGTAATTTAAGCCTATGAATTGATTCATATATCTTAAGAATTCTTTTTCGTACTGATGCGCAATTAAAACAAATTTCCTCAACAAATGTAAACGGAACATCCAATTTTAAATTTTATTGCTAGTCATGTTGTTCGGACTATAATTGCTTATGATGTCTGCTGCTGATGTTTATTTTACGCTCTTAATGTTTGTTATGCCGGCTAGTTATGCTGCCTCTATGCTATTAATGCTTCATATGTTGCTTGGTACTGATTGTATGATAGTGTTGTTTGTTATACCTGATGGTAATGCTGATTGTTTCTTGGTAATGCTAATAATACATTGTACTAACAATGCTGACTCATGCTATTTATGTATATTTTGCTTGCCGCTTACGCCAATGTTTAATATACTTGCTGAAAATGCTGATTGTATGTTTAGCAGTGTTTGTTATGCCTGCTGGAAATGTTGATTATATTCTAGTATTGTTTGTTATGCTTGCAAGTAATGCTAATTGTAGGGTAGAAATGCTTTTTCTGCTTGCTGGCAATTCGGGATATTTGTTGGCCGATGTATTCCGGTGCCTGTGGGGTCATTTTAGATGCTGAAGTTTTCCCTGATAAATGAGAATTTATGCAAATTTCCTTGGTACCGTTACTATGATTATGACCAGTTTTAAAGGTCGATGTAATCTTATTCATCATTAATAGAGTGAGTGCGGTGAATACATAATATTCTACTTTGTTAATTATCATTTCCTGTTCTCAACTAAGAAGTATAATAATTACATCGTTATTTTATTTTTAGATTTCAAAATTACAATGGTATCACATGAGGAGCCAATTTACCACCATGGTATTTTCTATAGTGAAGTTCCTCAATTTCATTTCTT